TAATGCCTATATAAAGTAAAAATATTAAAATAATACTGAAATATATATAAGTAATAGCCTCTTCTTTCATATCTCCAGTCTTTGTATTTTTTGAAAGATAAAAACATCTTTTCATGATAAAACTCTCAACATATTAACTATGGAAGTAATGTATCTCAACAAAATAAAGGCCATCTATGACAAGCCCACAGCTAACATCATACTCAATGGAAAAAATTGAAAGCTTTTCCTCTAAAATCAGGAATAAGACAAGGATTCCCACTCTCACCACTTTCATCACAGTACTGGAGTTCTAGCCAGTTCAGTTAGGCAAGAAAAAGAAATAAAAGGTGTCCAAATTGGAAAGGGAGAAGTAAAATTTTCTTTGTTTGCAGATGCATTATATTTTAATTCTATACGTAAGAGTACTGAGATTTTAACTCACTCCCACTTCCCCTTCAGTCTTTAAATGTTTGGGTAGTTATGTTCACTTCATCTGTTGCTTAGTTTTGACACTTTAAATAATGTTCTTACATCTCTATTTTTCATTCTAGCAAATTTTATGTTATTTCTTTACTTTGCACTTTGTAAGGTACAGATATTCTTATCCCTCTCTATTCTTCCTTCTACCTCTTCTATTCCCCCTTATCAGCTGAGTGTCTGTCAATTGTAGTGTTACTTTAACACTGTCAAGGTTGAAAAAAATTATGTTCTCTTCAATCACATATATCTTGCATTTGTGGGGTGTAATAAGGATTCTAAAAGCTGAAAATCAATTAACCATTCTTTCACTATTAGGATTTGTAGTAGAATTAAGTAGTATTTTTGTGTTACTCTTCTTTCTTTTTTTTTTTCTTTTCTTTTGTTTTTTCACAAGAAATTTTTTTATTCTTTTTTTTAATTAAATCTTTATTGTTCAGATTATTACATTTGTTCCTCTTTTTTCCCCCCCATAACTCCCCTCCTCCCAGTTCCCGCCCCACCCTCCGCCCTCACTCCCCACCCACTGTCCTCATCCATAGGTACACGATTTTTGTCCAGCCTCTTCCCGCATCTCCCACACCCCTTTCCCCCCCAAGAATAGTCAGTCCATTCCCTTTCTATGTCCCTGATTCTATTATAATCACCAGTTCATTCTGTTCATCAGATTATTTATTCACTTGATTCTTAGATTCACTTGTTGATAGATGCATATTTGTTGTTCATAATTTGTATCTTTACCTTTTTCTTCTTCTTCCTCTTCTTAAAGGATACCTTTCAGCATTTCATATAATCCTGGTTTGGTGGTGATGAACTCCTTTAGCTTTTCCTTATCTGTGAAGCTCTTTATCTGACCTTCAATTCTGAATGATAGCTTTCCTGGATAAAGTAATCTTGGTTGTAGGTTCTTGGTATTCATCACTTTGAATATTTCTTGCCACTCCCTTCTGGCCTGCAAAGTTTCTGTTGAGAAATCAGCTGACAGTCGTATGGGTATTCCCTTGTAGGTAACTGAGTTTCTTTCTCTTGCTGTTTTTAAGATTCTCTCTTTATCTTTTGCTCTTGGCATTTTAATTATGATGTGTCTTGGTGTGGTCCTCTTTGGATTCCTTTTGTTTGGGGTCTCCGAGCTTCTTGGACCTGTAAGTCCATTTCTTTCACCAGGTGGGGGAAGTTTTCTGTCATTATTTCTTCAAATAGGTTTTCAATATCTTGCTCTCTCTCATCTTCTGGCACCCCTATAATTCTGATGTTGGTACGCTTGAAGCTGTCCCAGAGGCTCCTTACACTATCCTCGCATTTTTGGATTCTTTTCTCATTTTGCTTTTCCGGTTGGGTGTTTTTTGCTTCCTCGCATTTCAAATCATTGACTTGATTCTTGTACTCCTCTGGTCTGCTGTCGGGAGTCTGTATAATATTCGTTATTTCAGTCCGTATATGCTTAATTTCTAGTTGGTTCCCCAATATAACATCGAGGGTCTCATTAGTTTTCTTGTAGATCTCATTAAGTTTATCGGCGGCTTCTAAACAGTTCTTGAGAGACCTTAAAAGTGTGGTTCTGAACTCTATATCTTCCATTGACAATTTTGTCCTGTTTCTTTGTCTCCGCATTTTGTGATGCTTCCTTGGTGCACCCCCTAGTGGTCTTTGTGCGCAGTCTTATAGTTAAACCTTGATTGTTGTAGCTAATACCAGGGAGGGTTTGACCTCCAGGCCAAGTGGCTATGAGAATCAGCTGTGTCTGCAGTGAGAGAACTTCTGTCCTCTAGGGAGGTGCTAATCTGGCGTTTGCCTGAGGCTATCCGGCAAATGCCTCTGTGCAGGGCTTGGGCGGGGCGGGTCGCACAGGATCAACAGGGTGGGCCGGAGAGAGCAGTTATGGCAGCTCTCAGTCCTGTCCCCAAGGGCTCTGCCTCTCTGAGTCCCAGCACCCGCTGCAAACCTCGGAGAGAAAGCTGCACTCGCTCTGACTGAAGCCAGACAGTCCCGCTTCTCCCGTTTGAGTCTGGGTCCCTAAAGATTCGCCTGTATCTGGAGCTCAGAGTCTGCGACTCCCTCCCGATTGAAAACGCCAACCGCGCCCTCCGCCGCCAGCCCGCTCCGCGCACTCCGCACCTCCGAATTTGACTTCAGCACTGCGCCTCCTCTGAGTGTCCGTATGCGTTTCTCTTTCCTCCTAGTTGTAGGACTTCCACTCAGCCAGCGTTCCTGTGGTTCTGGGTGATGTCCGTTCAGTTTTTTAGTTTCACTTTTGAAGTAGTTGTTCAAGGCAGCAAACTCCAGCGTTAACCTATGCCGCCATCTTGGTTCTCGTGTTACTCTTCTTTCTTGATTAGCACTCTCTGGGCCCCTTTTTCTCTAGCTCAGGAAAATTTTTGACCTAAATTTTCTTTGTCCTCTCTATTAATTTCTATTATTAGTTGAAAGTTGGAGGTATTGAATGTCTTCTTTCTGTCTTTTTTCCTTTATTTTTTTTTTCTTGTATTTTTACTTTATGTATTAGGATTGTTGCCCCATTTTATTTTTGGTTATCGCTTAAGGCATTATCTTTTTTAGCCTATGTATTTATTATTCTTCTGCAAAGCCTCTGAAGATCTAATGGTTTTCATTTTTGTTCTCTTCTGATTTTTGAATGACCTGCTTCCTTCAGATTCTTTTTTACTTTTTTTGGTTATTTTTCTTTCATTATTAGCTTTTTTCACTCATGTAGTGATTCTTGATTGTCAGTTCATGTTTGTGAATGGATTCTTGATTGTCAGTTCATGTTTGTGAATGATGGATTAGGTTAATATTTCTGGGTAAGTGGTTTTGATTTTCTTGCTATCTTTTTTTTATTAATCTCTTGGAACCCTGTGTACATGATGGTGCTTATTGACCAGTCAGTCCATAGGGTGAGCACTCAGGGAACCAGTCTTTAAGCAAGGAGTTTTTCAAAATCCCAGATCGGGACAGGTTTTACTTTCTGATGCCAATATATTCTCTTTCCCCACTCCTCCCCTCCTCCCCATTTCCCTTTGGAACTTCCTTTGGTTTCTTTAGAGATTTGTTTTTGTTTTTTTCTTTTACATAGCTTCCCTTCCACTTTTCACTGCTGCTTACCATTTCATCTATTTTCTTAGGAAGCCTTTCTGGACTTCTGTCTGGCTTACTCAGCTGGGGTCTTCTCTGGCACTTAGTTTGGGCATTAATTTCCTTCATTGTTTTATCTGTCAGTACATGCTTCTTTTCTTCCATCTTCCTACAGTTTGTTAATATTTCTTATCTCCCTCTAAGTCTCCTTTTGATAATAGATATACCAAGTTACTGATAAAAATCGAATATTGCCACAGAAGAGTATATCATAGTAAGAACACCTTGCAATTTTGTAGATTAATGATTTGTCTTTTTTTGCTGTGTCTATATATAGTCTTTCTGTCCATACATGTCTTGAAACCTGTGTACATGAATGGGGGTTATTGACTGGGGGGTCCCCCCACTCCACCCTCAGGTTGGTTCAAATTAGGCAGCATTGAGGTATTGTATACACTTACAGTATAGGCTGGCATCATTGAGGTGTTGTATATACTTACAGTATAGGCTGGCAAGGGCGAGCTAACCTACACTGCAGATCTAGATAGACAAGCACAGACCAGACTTTGGGAGGTCACAGAATTAGCAAGAAAAATAATAGAGGTAAAGTGGATAAGAATATGACCTCAGGAATACAATTCTTTGTAGTTATATTCTTTTTACAGCACTTCCTAATTTTATGATGCTGGTCAAATAGTGTAATTTCTCTAAATTTTAGGATTTTTATTGGTAAAATTAGGGATTGTAATAGTATCTTATGATTGTGAGAATTGATGAGCTAATTTGTTTAAGTACTTAGCAGAGTAAGTGCGCAGCAAAGGGCAGCTGAAGAGAATTTAAATAAAAAATCTAGGTTACTGGATTTTATTGAAAAATTAGAATATCTAGTATTCTTGAATGGTAACAGTTGTTTACGGCTGAGTAGTGTCTGCCCCTTTTAAAATGGGGTAATTGCTTTCCAGCTTGCCATAGCTCCCAATATTCCTTTTTATTCTTAAAAATATATTTTTATTGATTTTAGAGAGGAAGGGAGAGAGAGAAAGTGATAGAAACATCAATGATGTGAGAGAATCATTGATTGGCTGCCTCCTATACGCCGGCGCCCCCCCCCCCCCCCATTGGGGATAGAGCCCACAACCTGGGCATGTGCCCTTGACCAGAATAGAACCTGGGACTCTTCGGTCTGCAGGCCGTAGCTCTATCCACTGAGCAAAACTGGCTAGGGTCCAATATTCCTTATTGTCTTACACTTTGCTTGTTTCATTCATTTATATTATCTGCTTTGCATTTGGATTTGTGACTCTGAGGTTACTGGTTTCAGCTATAGCTAAAAGAATATCTAGTTTTTAGAACTGGGTTTTCTTTGGCATTAGGATGAATCAATACAGAAGGCAGAAATACAGACAGTATTAGAAGAATAATTCAGGCAAGGGTGTGCCATCTCATCCAGAAGGTGACTTAGGAACGCTTGTAGCACTTTGGTTGGCATATGTGAGGTTTGGTGATGTGCTTCAGGTGAATGAAGAGCCTGTTATGGGGTCTGATGATATGTAACCGGGAGGGTTTTAGATAGAAATCATGCAGCTGAAGCCTAGAAATGTTTAGATATGGAAATAACTCATTTATGAATCTACAATAGCTGTTGACTGACCTAAGTGCCCAGCAGTGTGCTAGGTTAAAGATCACAGTTACATAAAATAAGAGCCCTTGTCATTAGATACTATAAGTAATTATCATACTGTGCATAATATAAGAATATCTTTAGAAATCTCCTGGTCTAATCCTCCTGTTTTACAACCACTAAAATAAGATTAGACAGATTAAACCTTGTCTAAAGTTTTATAACTATTTGGGATTCCAAGACTCCTTTTTTCCTAATCCTGTGCTCTTTCTAGTATTAGGCAGCATTAAAGAGGTCTGGATAGCAAAGATCCCAAGATCTGGGAGAAGGGTTCAAAGATTGGGACTTAGGTATGAGGGAAGGTTATGTTACCTTATATAAGAGTTACTCTTAGAAGATTGGAGCCAGAGTTTCTTCTTGGGGGCTTGAAGAAGTAAGTGTCCATGTCAGAGAAACCCTTGTGGCAAGGAACTGTAGGCAGCTGCTAGCAACTGTAGGTACCCTGTAGGACCTGAGGGTGGCTTCCATCTGGAGAGCTAGCAAAAAGCTGAGCCCCTCAGTCTTACACAGCAAGGTTAGGAATTCTGCCCACAATCTGAAGGAACATGCAAGAGGATTCTTTCCAACTTTAGCCCCCAGATGAGAATGCAGCCTAGCCTAGCTGATACCATGAATGAAGCCTGTGAAAACTCAAGCAAATGACTCAGCTGAGCCCTATCCAGACTTCTGATCCATGGAAACTGTGAGCTAATAAATGTGTATTGCTGCTAAGTTTTTATAATTTGTTATGCAACAATAGAATACTAATACTTTTGAGTCCAAGTATATTGTATTTTTTAGTGTAGTGTCATTATATAATAAACACAACACTTTGCCATCTAATTTGAAATACATAATCACTCCATTTAAAAGCATGATAGTCATTGCAGTTTGTGGTATGCTGGGCAGCAGTGTGAAATGATGAGTGCCACATAGGATCTCTCGCAACTACTCAACTCTTCTCTTATAGCATAATGCAGCCATTACAATACATAAACAAATTAGCATGGATTCATCTTCATAAAAATTTATCTATGAACATTAAAATTTTGAATTTTATATAATTTTCATGTGTCGCAAAATGTTATAATCCTTTTATTTCCCCAACCATATGAAAATGCAAAAACCATTCTTAGTTTGCAGCTTGTACAAAATAGGCAACAGGCTGGATTTAGCCTGAAGTTTGGCTGGAGTTTGCTGACCATGGCTGTAGACAAACTTGAAGGCAATTCTGTGTTTTTTTTTTTTTTTTTTAAATCTTTATTGTTGAAAGTATTGCATAGGTTCTCCTTTTTCCTCCATTAACCTCTTCTAGCCTGCTCTCCCCTCCCCCAGGCCCTCACCACGCCATTGTCTGTGTCTGCGGGTTATGCATATATGCATACAAGTTCATTAGTTGATCTCTTCCCACCCACCTTACCCTGCCTTCCCTCTGAGGTTCAACAGTCTTTTCATGCTTCTGTGACACTGGGTCTATTTTTGATAATTAGTTTATTTTTTTCATTAGATTCCACATTTGAGTGAGATCATGTGATACTTATCTTTCTCTGATTGGCTTATTTTGCTTAGCATAATGCTCTCCAGGTCTAGGCAATTCTAATATTATTTGAAGGTACTATCATAAGGAAAGTATTAGCATTATTTGAGATTCTTAAGAAAATATTTTAATAAAAATATAATTTGTTAAAAATATTTAAAAAACGAAAAATCTTTTATTAAAGTTTATGGACAGTTTCCTGAATGTGGTGAACTAGATGGAGTGAAGTAGGAAACAGCTTCATTTCTCACTAATTAGTACAGTTGACCCCTTGAATAATGCAGGTGGGTTTTTTTTCAATTGACCCTTGTAGTTCAATTTCTCTGCACAGGTGGAGGGCTGACAGTAGTTATTCAGAGATATTTGGCACCCCCAACCGCTCATGTTCTTCAAGGGACAACTGTATATACTTTGATTATTCTTCTTCACTCATAGGTGATATCCTGATGAGTTCTGCCCCATTCCATTTTTTCAATTTAATAGGACTTTAACAACTGTTTAATAGTTTTAAAATCCTGTTTTCTATTTTTAGTATCAGAGTCATCTTGGAATCTGTTTTCTTTGTTTCCCAGTTGTGAGTACTACTCACTGCTTATTTGCATGTCTGGTACTTTTTAACTGTATGTGGACATTATGAATTCAACATGGTTTAGAGTCTTGATTTTTTGTCTTTTCAAGTATGTTGAAGTATGTTCTGATTCTGATGCACAAAATGAACTAACAAGCCAAATAAAGACAGACTCACAGATAGCAGGCTGACAACTCTGAGGGGTGGGGTGGGTTGTGGGGTGGAGGAATTCAGAAAAAAAGGAAAAAAAGGAAAAGCTCTTGGGCACAAATAACAGTGTGGTGATTGCTGGAGGCAGGGGAAGGGGGTGGAAGGAAATAGAGGGAGGTGGAGGAAGAGGAGTGTATATAAGGGGATGAATGAGATGGAAGGAGACTTGACTTGGGGTGGTGAACACACAATACAGTATACAGATGATGTGTTGTGGAATTGTGTACCAGAAACCTATATAATTTTGTTAACTAATAGAACTATATTAAGTTCAATAAAAAGGAAAATAACATTTTAAAAAAGTATGTTGAATTATGTTCTGAATGCAGTTAATTTAATTGGAGCTATTCTTAATCTTGTCTAGGCTTGCTTTTAGGCTTCTGTTGGAACAGTCTATAGTAGTTCTTTCTCTAGGTCAGCAATTTTCAGCCAGTGTGCACAAGAATTTTTAAAACATTTAATACTTGACTGTTTAGTCAGGGGCACTGACCTCTTTTCCCTTAGATTGTCAAATAAAAAAATGACAATAGCCAACACAACAGTAACCATCTGGTGTGAATGAAAATCAAAATTATACCCTTTTTTTGGTCAGATCGGCAAAAAACATATTTTTTGGTGTGCCGCAGAATTTTAGTAATTAAGTTTATGTGTGCCATGGGATAAAAAGGGTGAAAATCACTCCTCTGGGTTATGGTCTTTACTCTTAAGACCTGGTCTTTGTGGTGTCTCATCTGAATTCCTGGGATATTAATGAGGTTCCTCCATGACTAGACAGGAACTTTAAGGTCTTCCAGCACTGTGCAGCCGTTAGTGTCTCTGTTATTCATTTGTCCCTTTAGTAGCCATTGCCTGCTAGGTATTTCAGAATATTGTCCCTCACATATGTAGCCTATCCGTCTGCCTTACCATTCCCTAGCCCTGAAACTGCACAACTGCCTCATCTTCAGCATCATGTCCTACAAATTCCACTTACTTCAACATCCCCAAACACTGATCTGTGATCACTGTTTGCTGCCTGAGCTTCACCTGCCTGGGCTGTAGTCAGATAATTGTCCTTAGACCAGCGGTTCTCAACCTGTGGGTCGCGACCCCTTTGGGGGTCGAACGACCCTTTCACAGGGGTCGCCTAAGACCATTGGAAAACACATATATAATTACATATTGTTTTTGTGATTAATCACTATGCTTTAATTATGTTCAATTTGTAACAATCAAATTGGGGGTCACCACAACGTGAGGAACTGTATTAAAGGGTCATGGCATTAGGAAGGTTGAGAACCACTGCCTTAGACAGAGAGCTTGGGCGAAGGTGAGACCCACCTTTCCTATTTCTCTTTTTTCAAAGACCAGTCTTCTCTTCCTAGAATCCAATGCTTGAAACCAAGTGCTTCATATGTTTTTGTCCAGTTTTATAATTATAGCAGGAAGGGAAGTTCAGTATCCAGTTACTCCATTATAGCAGAAAACAAAATAAACAGTATATATATGTAAAACTCAATTCTGTTTTATATATACCAAACAGATGCTTACAGTTTCACCTGAAAAATAGAGTATGGTAAATATAATAACTTTTTTTTAATAGATTGGATGTTAGGACTAATTGCATATTTGGGTGGGGGTTGCTAAAAATCAGAAAATATTTTTTGTTTAAACCCTTGTTAACAATTGCATTATATAACAAAATAGGAATAAATAGGAATAAAAAGGCCTTGCTATTGATCCTAGTTTCTATATTAGTGAGTATCTATTGAAGTCAAAGTGTCTTTAATTTCAAATAATAGGAATCAAATTGTTCAAGCAAAAATAGGCACATTTAAGCTTGCAGATTTACTGCAGAATTGAGATATGGTTGATGGGTGAAATTCCTAGAGAACATGAATAGGGCAGAAGTCCCTAAAAGCTTTGAAATTTTTTTTGAGCTTTAGTGTTTCCATCAGTATATTAGAAAATTAAAAACCTTCCTTCTCTACCTCATTAGGTTGATGACTGCCAACAATTCTTAACCTTGCCAAATTATACTTATTTTTTTAAGGCCTAGTTCAGATGTTACATAAGAATTAATTCTTTTTCTTGATAGGTAGCAAGAGTGATCTTTGAATTGTCAATTCTGAATACCATTTCCTTGTACACCTGGTGGGTAATAAATATTTGGATAAATGAAGATCAAATGAGAATGTGTATTTGATGAAGACTTTGGAAATTAAGTGTCTGAACATGCGAAAGATATTTTTATTAAGACCTTTCACCAATTTGCAAAGTATTCTCTTTTTCTGCTTTTAAATTGAAAATCTTATAGTAACTTATTGGAATTTTTATAGTGTTTTTTTTGTTTTTTAATTGAAGTGATTTTAAGTTGGAAAGTCTAGGTTAGTGAATGTATATTGGCTTATGAAACACTCAATACAATTTTTGTTACTTTTTTAATTTTAAGAAGTAACTGGATCCCTAATTCCTTTGTTTTGTTTTTGTGAACTCTCTGTATATCCTTTATAGAACTAAAGAATAATGGTTAATTTAAGAGTCAACTGTGGCTTGGTTTATAGTGGGCATCAGTAAATAGCAATAATCCATTGCCTGAACTTGTGTTAACTTCCCAAACATATATTTTTTAATTCTATAAGTTGACTAATTTTCTTTTCTAATTATTTTAGTTCTCTATCAAGATCAGTGCACATCATTGAAAAGAAAATTTTGAAGACATGTTTTGCTGAAAAGAAAACTGAGAAACATCTTACGAATGGGATGAACACGCACCAGTTAATTGACTACCTACTGCAATTTGAATGTTAACATTACCTGCCTGGTACAGTTACCTAGTGATGTACCTATTCTCACAATACCCTACTTCAGTGTGCTTGTCTTGATTAAAGAATTCAAAGTGGAGTACCGCAAACTTGATATGGATAATAAAAAGAAAGACAAGGACAAATCAGATGATAGAATGGCACGACCTAGTGGTCGGTCGGGACATAACACTCGAGGACCTGGGTCTTCCTCCTCTGGAGTTTTAATGGTTGGACCTAACTTTAGAGTTGGAAAAAAAATTGGATGTGGCAATTTTGGAGAATTACGATTAGGTAAGACACTTTTGTTTATTCCTTTCTGTTGCAAGCATTTTTTAAAAAATGAAAGACACTTTCTAATGAAAATGATTTAGTTATTTAATTGTTTAATTTATTGCAATAATTTTAAAGAATATGAATATTGTACATTTTTTATGTACTTGAATATTTATTTGTAAGGAATTCCCTAATGTATGAATATTAATTTACTTAAGATTTGCCATTCAACATAGGAGAAGAAAAGGAAGTAAATGATAAAGTCCCAGCAGGCTGAAATAGGTGCCAGGATAACCGTTTCAGTGTATTCCTTAGGAATGATATTTAGGCTACTTTTTCAGATTTGAAAACATTTAGTAACTGATCACTTTGGGAGGGATATGTATGGCTTGAAGTCAAGGTACTATATCGACACTATAAAAATCAGTAAAATTTACATGGTAATTTATTCACTTTCACTCCCCCAAGTATATCCAGGGTGGGGCTCAGGGTGGGGGACACAAAATACTGTTTGCAGTATCCTATCTAATAAAAGAGTAATATGCAAATTAACTGTCACTCCCTCACACCGTCACAAAGATGGCGGCGGCCACGGGGAGCGAGCAGGAGGCTTGGGTTGTTGCCCTGGAGATGGAGGAAGCCAAGCTTCCCGCCTGCCCTGGCTGGCCCTGAGCTCTGCTCAAGGCTACAAAGTTTCAATTATAGACAGTGAATAAACCCCAGATACCTGCTTCCAGCCCGCGGGCATGGCCAGCCTGGGCCATCATCTCCTCACCCAGGCTGGCCAGGCACCCCAGCGGGACCCCCATCCTGATCCAGGACACCCTTCAGGGAAAACCAGCCAGCCCCCACCTGTGCATCAGGCCTCTATCTACACTAATTAAAAGACAAAGATGCTAATTGACCGTAACTTTGCTATGCCCAAGCCACGCCCATCAGCCAATCATAGTGACTATATGCAAATTAACCCAACCAAGATGGCGGCTGGCAGTCACTGAGCTGGAGCAAGCAGGAGGCTTGGTTGCCCCAGCGTCGAGGAAGCCAAGCTTCCCACCTGCTCTGGCCAGCTGTGGCCTCCGAAAAAGGCAACAAAGTTTCAATTATAGAAGCTAAATAAATCCCAGATACCTGCTTCCAGCCAGCCTCCACTGGGAGCTTGGGTGGCTGGGAGGCTTGGCCAGCCTACAAACAGCCATCAGCCCCTCACCCAGATTGGCCAGGGACCCCAGCAGGACCCTCCACCCTGAAGGGTCTGTGGCCAGCCTGCAAACCGCCATCAGCCACTCACCCAGGCTGGCAAGGCACCCCAGCAGGACTCCCCTCCCTAAAGGGGGTGTGGCCAGCCTGAAAACAGCCCTCAGCCCCTCACCCAGGCTGGCCAGGCACCCCAGCGGGACCCCCACCCTGATCCGGGACACCCTTCAGGGCAAACCACCCGGCCCCCACCCATGCACCAGGTCTCTATCCTATATAATAAAAGGGTAATATGCAAATTGACCCTAACAGCAGAATGACTGGGAATCACTGGTCACTCTGACACACACTGACCACCAGGGGGCAGACGCTCAATGCAGGAGCTGCCCCCTAGTGGTCAGTGCACTCCCACAGAGGGAGGTCTGCTCAGCCACAAGCCAGGCTGCCAGCTGCCAGCACAGCGGTTTGTGGTGGGAGCCCCTCCCGCCTCCTCAGCAGTGCTAAGGATGTCTGACTGCAGCTTAGGCCTGCTCCCCGCTGGCAAGTGGACATCCCCTGAGGGCTCCTGGGCTGCCAGAGGGATGTCTGACTGCCAGCTTAGGCCCAATTCCCCCAGGGAGCGGGCCTAAGCCAGCAGGTGGACATCCCCCGAAGGGTCCTAGACTGCCAGAGGGCACAGGCTGGACTGAGGGGACCCCCCCCCCCCCCCCGAGTGCACAAATTTTTGTGCTCTGGGCCTCTGGTATTCTTATAATCAGGCATGTTTGAGAAACATTGGTATATTTAAATTTCCTATGTACATTTAAGGAAATTGAAAGTCAGGGAAGTTTATCTGCCAGATGTAACACAGCAATTTCAGGACAAACTCAGGACCAAAACGTAGGTTTTTAACTCATATTGGAGATGTGGCTGTGTTTACTAAACAAGAGTAACAAGGAGGAGGGCAACATGGTTATATGGGAGTCAGTATTGAGGTTCCTTGAGGGGGTCTGGTCAGTGGACCACAAATAGTGGAAATTTTAGGAAAAACAACAACAATAACAAAAACTTGTTCATAAATTTTTTTAGATCCAACCCTACTTGTTAGAAATAAGTTCAGTTGTGTGTTTCTCAACTACTTTTCCTTTTCATCTTGTAAAATACCCTAATTCGTACGTACCTTTTCATTTTATTAGTGTGTTTTGTTGTTAATGTACTTTAAATCTTAAATTAGGCAAGCTAGTAAAAGGTAATGACATACTTTGTACATAGCTGTAATATGATGTGACTGGTGGACTCTTGCATTTTAGTAGGTACTCAGATGTTTTAAAGGGTGCATGTTTGACTTTTTTTAAAAAGGTTATTGAATTAGATATTTTGAAGTTCTTAAACTGTTTCTGACTTTGGACTTGGAAAATCAGTTTATTTACTTGTCTACCTTTGAGCATCGTCATCCATCCATTCAAAATTCATTGCATGTTTATCATGTATGAGACATGATAAGGCACTGATAATACACTGGAAAAATATAAAAATTGTCCTTGCCATTATGGAACACATAAGTCATTTAACCATTTGAGGCATCAAATTCCTTAACTTTAAAATGGGATTATTTCCACTTTCTAGGTTATTGTGAAGATTAAATTTAGATGACAATATGAAGGGACCAGCATTTTGCCTGCATATTTTAGGAAAGCAGTGATTCTGCTCCTTTAAAAGGCGATTTCAAGATATTTGTTCTTTTTAAAAATTAAAATTATGGCATGTTATATGTATATTTAAACTTATATAAATTAGCTATACAGATGTATGTTGTTATATATATTTATATTATATCTATTTATTGTGTATATGACTATAATACTATAGCACCTTGGCCATTTTTATTCAAAACTGGTTTCATAGAATTCATTTCTAAATAACTACATGTATATACATATCTGTAGTATGTATATATGTGTGTGTATGTATATGTGTGTGTGTATACATATACACAGAAAATATCTAGTGAACCATTTTAACCAGGGCAATATGAGAAACTATATGTACCATATACTGAATCTATATATGCTATAAAATGAAAAAGTTGTTAAATACCCCTTTCTTTTGCAGTCTATAAGCAGGCAGAGGAATCAGATGATTTATTAATTCAACCATCTATCCATTCATCTATTATCTACTTATCTATTTTTTTATCTGTATCTATTCTTCCTGTGGATGTTTATTGAAAATTTGTATATGTTTATTTTAATATATTATCTATATCTTTATATGTACCTGTGTTTTATATATATTTATAATATTCAGTTGACCCTTGAACAACTATTAAATAAAGGAACATTTTATTCCATATTTGAAGGCCCCAAAAGAGTTCTTGGTACAGAAAAAATTATTATTAGTATAATTCTTTCTGTACCTGGAATAACGTGCTAATGTTAAAAGCTAGTTTAGTTTTGTTTTGTTAATCTTCACCCAGGGATATTTTTCTATTGATTTTTCTTTGGGTGGGGGAGAGGAAAGAGACAGAGAGAAAAATATCAATGTGAGAGAGACAAATTGATTGGTTGTCTTGGGGATTTGAATCTGCAAGCTAGGTACATGCCCTTGATTGGAATTGAGCCCACGACTCTTTGGTGAGCTGGCTGACATTCTGACCAATGAGAAGCACTGGCAGGGGCTGGTTTATAAAGTGCTTTTTAAAAAACCACATTAGTTTTTTCCATAATTGTGGTGGATTAAGTGGAAGCTACACTGACACTCTCCCAAACTGGAATTAAAATATAGAAATACCATCTGGAAAATCAACTGAAGACTAGCTGGAGAGAACCCTTGTAACTAAGGACATAAAGTGGAAACCACATAGGGACTAGTAGGAAGTGCAGAGGCATGAGTGGGCTGACCAGGCATGAGAGGAGGGAGCCCGATTCTGGGTTGCATCACCCGAGAACTGCCCTCTCACAATCTTGGACCCCTCAGGGGATGTTGGAGAGCTGATTTTGGCCCGATCCCTGTAGGCCAGGCTGAGGGGCCCCACGGGTGCACAAATCTGTGCACTGGGCCTGTAGTCAACAATAAAGATAAATAAAAAATAAAAACCACATTAATAGAGACATCTCACACATCTGATTACTGGCACTAAAACTTTTGTGATTAATATTGGGTAAGAAAATGTATAAGGTATACATATTTTAGGTAAGTGGCTTTCAACAAAGGTGCCGTTTGCATTTGGGGCTGGACAGGTTTTTTTTTTTGTTGTTTTTTTTTTGTGACGACTATTCCACACACTTCCTGGTGTTCAAACTGTTGGGCACTAACTAGGAGTTGCACCTGCACAGCCCTAAGAACTCTAAGAAGAAACAGTATTACTCACTGTTGAAACTACTCTTCTTGGTAATTATTTTTTAAAAAAAGGTTGAACATAAAAAAATTGGCCTTGACATCCTATCTAATAAAAGGGTAATATTCACATTAACTGTTACTCTGTCACAAAGATGGTGGCGTCCATAGCCACAAGATGGCAGCGCCCAGTCCGCTCAGCCCTGCCGGAGTCCCCCAGTCCCGGAGGGGTGGCCACTGAAAGCGTGAGCGGCCTGGCCGAATGCTTGCTTTGTTGCCATGGCAACAACGCAAGCGTTCGCACCCGGCTGCAGATGGGCCTCTGGGCTGTGAAGAGCCTCTGGGCAGCGGGCGCAGAGCGGCCAGGCCCCATAGAGAGCTACTGGCGCACGGATTCGTGCTCAGGGCTACTAGTTTTAAAATAAAACCAGGTAAATATTTTAAAGAATACTCTAAATATTAATTTTAGATGTTTTTACTGTCATTTTAATCTATTTTTTATTGTAAAA